AAAAGTAGGAAAAATAAGTTTTAAAATAAATCACCACTACCATTGCCAATATTATTTATTGCATGCATAAAAATGTAACAAGGTACACTCATTTATTATCTAATCTAATCTAATTCATTGTTACTATTTTATCCTGGATAATAGTGGTCTCACAAATAATTAATCAATGGAAGACTCGATTTAAAATTGCCTGGATGGCCACCTGGATGACTTAGGCCTGCAATGTGATTTGAAGTAATTAATACATTTTTACGATATTGAACTACGTTAATGTTCAAAATAATTGATAAGGTTTTGACCAGAAACAACCTATTATTTAAAACAAGAAGCAATTTTTTTTTATTAAATCTGTCACACTTAGAACATTCAGTAATTGTTTTGACTTTTATTATTAAATTCCCGAAGGAGAAGTTTATGTTTTCATCAAAAAATCCGACTCGCTTATTTTATGTTTTCTCGACGTTTCAAGCCATTCTGAATCGAATGAGACCAAATTCGCAAAAAGTATGTGTGTGTGTGTGTGTGAACAGATTTTTTGCCGTAAATCGATATTTTCTCTAAAACGGCTGGACCGATTTTAAAAAATTCGATGTATCTCGATGAGGACTAGCGTTTCTGAGTTTTGTATGACGATCGGCCTGGCCGTTTCTTTGTAAATCGCAGAAAAGTAAAAAATTTTTCGTCCACGTTTTAGTCCGAAAACTGTTCGATAGATATTAATTGGAAATCGTGCTGATTAGTTTTTGCTAAAGATCGGCCAAGACGTTTTCTTGTAATAAAGTTTAAAAAAAATAAAATTCGACGATTTTTATGATTTTTTTGACGGTAGATACCATAGTCTTGTAGATCATACTATTTTTAAAGTTTATTTTTAAAAATTCTTCAAAGTTTGCAAAAATAAGTATCGTTTTTTTGGCATTTGTCAAAATTAGACCTTTCATCGACGTTTGCTCAAAAATGCCTCAACCGATTTCAGAAATTTGAAAAAAATTTGATGTATCTCGATGAGGATTATCGTTTATCAGTTTTGTGAGACCATCTGCCGAGCCGTTTCTTTGTAATTTGAAAAAAAGTGTTAAACTTTTCGTCTTCATTTAAGCTCATACTACCGAATTGATTTAAAAAAATCAAAAACTGTTCGAAAGATATTAGTTGGGAATGATACTGATTAGTTTTAGATGAAAATCTACCGACCCGTTTTCTTGTAATTAAATGTTAAAAAAAAATTAATTCTTATATGGAATATGGAACTTTTTTTTGGCAATATATTATATATCATGGTCTTATAATACTTACTGAAATATTAAGGCGTTACGACAAGTCGCTTATTTTAAAAAATTCATCAAAGTTTAAGAAAATGAGTAGTTTTTTTAACGTTTGTTAAAATATAAATTAGACGATTTACTTGGTATAACGATAGAGTACTTGGTATTAATGAACATACTGAACCATTAAAGTCCTGCGGAAACTGGTTCAATTATAAAAATTATTGATTTTTGAAAATTTGATTTAAGAGAATACTCCGAGTTAACGTATTCGTTCGTTCATTTTCAATTATGTGTATTAAATCCACTCGGAATACTTTTAATCACTCATAAATAAATTTATTTTTTATTGATTAAGTCGATTATTTATACATATCGGGAAGTTCATGTAACTTACCTTAAAGCAAAATACCAATACCAACTAAACTGCAAAGTGTACATGACATCCATGACAAACCTTATTCTCAGGACCCTTAGCACCGCCATCTGAAAGTGAAGATTGCAACTTTTAATAGATGGAAACTTGTGGATTGAAACTAAATTGAGTGCATCAAAAAAAGATGGGCAATTTCTGCCTGAATCAATATGCTTTCAGGATTATTGTCGGATTACTAAAATATTCAATAACTATTAGTTCTTGGCATCCTGCCTTACGGCAAGTAGCTGTAACTTCCCGTACCGTAAGTAAAAAACTTAAAAAACAAAAAAAATGTAACAATTTTTAGTATTTTAGTATGGTTTATAAGACTATGGTATCTACCAAAAAAAATCATAAAAGTCGTCAAAAAATTTTCATCTCAACTCATCAGCACGATTCCCGACCAATATCTTTCGAACGGTTTTTGAATTTTCAAAATCGATTCAGAACTACGGGCTAAAACGATTTTTTTCACTTTTCTGCTATTTACAAAGAAACGGCTTGGCTGATCGTCGCGCAAAGTTGATAAACGCTAGTCCTCATCGCGATACATAGAATGGCTTTTAAATTTTTGAAATCGGTGCAGTCGTTTTTGAGAAAACGTCGATTTACAACAAAAAATCTGTTCACACACACACAAATACACACACACATACATACTTTCACCAAATTTGGTCTCATTCGATTCAGAATGAGGCTTGGAACGTCAAGAAAACATCAAATCAGCAAATCGGAGTTTTTTATGAAAACATAAACTTCTTCTTCGGGCAAGTTAACTATTGATTTTTTTGCGATTACTATAACCTACCCTACGAGAATTTAAAAATATTCACATAGAAACAATTCAGATATTTCAAATTATTCGATTTATTCTAAACGAATTTTAAATTTTCAAAATTGTTTCAGGATGTTTGACTAAAACAAGAACGAAAAATTTTGCAAGTTTTAAATTTGAAAAAATTAAAATTACGCCACCTGGATTGTTGGAACTTGCGTCGTGATTTAAGCTGTTTCCGCCTTTCCAGTTTCCAGATCCATAATTACCGCCACCTGGAAGTGAAGATTTGAACTATTAACAGATCAAAACGAGAAAAGGAAATTTTATGTCTTAATAATTTTTAGAAAAAATATATCTATAACTTTTCAAAAACATTTTGAATTTGAATTAAATATAGGTAAGAGTTTGAAATCTTAAATTTGAAATATGTAAATTTCTCAAAAAAAAGTTTATTTTTTTCTCAGAAAGTCAGATTTGTAATTATTCAATAATTAATAGAAACGACAATTAATCAATGTTTGTCAGTTATTAGCTAGATGCATTTTTCACCATTATGTACTGGTTTTGGGTGCAACTTTATGATGACTCCTTTAATTTCGCCACCGTCTGCAAATAAATACAAAAAGATCAGAATTTAGATGTCCAAAATAAACATTATCTTCTCTCATATATTTACCATAAGGATTAGGAAATCCGTTGGCATATATCACAAGTTGCAGACACACAACCAGGAAAATAATTTTGAACATTTTTGGTTCAAAAAATTTAGCAACCACCTGAAAAATAAACTAATATTACTGGTTTTGGATCTGGACTTTATATACTTGGTAATTTTTATTACGTGACGCAAATTTATTAATATGATTTATGATAAATAAATAAATTATACTAAAAAATCTAATTTAATTTTAAGATAATTAACTTGCCATTAGTCTAATAATTGGTATGATAAATTTTATGATGTTTTTGCATTCCAAAAGCAAATTAATATAATTTATAAGCTTTGTTATTTTATTTATTAAATAAATATAATGGTCCAATTATGTGCGTCAATTTTATTTAATTCTTATTTATAGCAAACTAATGGTGCATGGCATCGTGCCCTAAGGCAAAATGTTGAAACTTTCCGTACCAGAAATTCAATTTTTTTACTTCCCGTAAGGTAAGTTAAAGTATAGTCGTAAAAAATGAAAAAAATATATATCTTTACGTTTTAGGGGTTTCTGAGCATTTTGGCATACCTTACAAAAAATTGATGTATGTGTGTGGTTTGTGTGTGTGTGTGGGTGCAGACACAATTTTTCGTCGACGATTTCGAGAACACGGGTCAACTGATTTGAATAATTAAAAAAACATTTGTATTAATAATGAGACGTGCTGATTAGTTTTTGGCAAAGACAGGTCTAGCCGTTTTGAAGATACGGAGCAAAAAGTGCCAAAAACTGTAATTCAATTTTTGTGAAAACGGAGCGTCCGATTTTAAATATACAACAATCATTTTACTTGACAAGATTTTTGTGCGCACTGATTAACCGATTTGAATGACTAAAAAAACATTTGATTCCTATTGATAGGGAGACGTGCTGATTAGTTTTTGGCATAGACAGGTCCAGCCATTTCGGAGATACGGGGCAAAGAGTGCAGGAAAATAGAAATCGAGTTTTTGAGAGAACGGAGCATCCGATTTGAATTATCTAAAAAACATTCAATTTGTAATGACGGGGAGAAGTGGTGATTAGATTTTGGCTAAGGCAGGTCCAGCCGTTTTGTAGATACCGAGCTAAATGTGCAAAAAATGACAGGTTTTGAGTGAACTAAGTGTACGATTTGAATGATTCAAAAAACTTTCTGCTTGTTTTGAGAAAATAATTGCTTTGAAAATAAAAAAATAATACACATTTTTTTTTCTCTATTTTTTTTTGTATATCGAAAATAATTCAGATTTTAATTTAAATTCTGACTAAAGTTCTAAAACTCACTTAAATACTTTAAATAAGTAATTTTAACTTTGTAATTCAGTTTATATAATTCTTATAAATATTAGACAATGTTACAATATTTATAATAAATCTATATGAAAACATTTAATATTTCTAGATCATTTCGGTACGGCACGGGAAGTTCTAGCAATTTGTGTTAAGGCACGATGCCATACACAACTAGTTTTATTGTTGTACTAATTTGCTTCAAAAATTAACTATCAATAGAATTGAAAAGTAAATAATTTTATTCAAAAACTGTTTTTAATCACTAAATTCACTGATAAAATTTTTCGTTAAAATAACAGAATACCCGAGATAAATATTTTTTAAGAAAATTCGAATCTGGTTAATATCAGTCCTGTGAAAAATTCGAAAAACGGTTTTTTAAAATGTCGGTTTTTGCATGAACCCTAATTACAACTGAATAAAAGGCAAAGATACTACTCATAATAACAGAATACAGATAATCAAAGTATTTTATTAAATATATATCGATACTACATTGCTCAAAAAAACACAGGTATATGTTGACCCAGTTTTAGTTCAAATCCCTCATTCAATATGCTGCTGGTCGCCCAAAAATTTTGTTCATTACATTACAAAACAAGTTCATTACATTATTAGATAAAATACTTTATCAAACAATATTATATTGCTTATTTATCTCCTACTTTTTCTGGGTCATAACAATCACAGAATCCTGTTTACAGTTCATAAATTTGACACATTCTCCTTGTGAATTTCTGGCAAATCCACGTTTGCAGTTGCATCCTGGGATACACACGTTGGTCAATTCGGAAGAACATGATAATCCTTTCATTTTGTCACTACCATCACACATTAGGTCACAATGGCCATCACAATGACTGTATTGTTCGTTTGGGCCTTTGCATTTTCCAGCTGGTAAAAGAATTAAATTTGGTTAAAAATTTTGTCTGAGAAAAAAATTAGTGATCGAAGTGCAACAAGTAGTTGGAGTTAGTTTTGGTACATTAATGAAAATAAAGAAGATTGGTATACGTCCAATAATATGATCACTTACCCTTATGTGGTGATGGAGTAGATGTAGGGCGAACTTCATCATCTGGAGAAGATCTCATGGATTGAATCACAGACAAGGCTGCAAAAGACAAAAACTTGCAAATTAGTTGCACAAATTATATAAACCATAGATGACCCGACAGAAGTTGTCCTGTACTCATGTCTACATTTATTAATATAATATACTATTATTTTCCTAAAAATGATAATTATTGTTTTTTGAATTACTCTTCACGCCAAAATGCATACACATTTCTAATATGAGCCATGTTAATTGTAAAACTGCTTTAAATAAAAAGATGAGTCTCAATTCCCACACTATATTGAAAATTGAAATCTTTTAAACGATATAATATAACCATAACCATAACATAACACTGGTACTTCTAAAAACTGTCTTATATCTTATATTTATTTTTTTATAATTTAAAATATCCAAAATTGCATCTTAAACTTCTCCTAATCGATATCGTGAGCGCCGATTTGTATGTATTCATCTTTACTTTCCCATTTGTTGTTATAAAGTGAAAATTTTACGAATTTTAATAATATTGTGGAAAGATTAGTAAAAGATGCAAAGAAATTATATATTAAAAAAAAAACTATATTAAAAAGTTAATATCCAAATCTTGTGTTGGCGCCCCCTAAGGCGTGCGCTCGTATTTTTCGCATGCATCGCATTAAAGGTAGGACCGGCCCTGATTAATACTTAATTTCATATTTTAAGTGAATTAATTTGTCATATCCTGTTCATATATATTCATATTATTAATTCATATTATTTTAATTTCTGGCACATCTCAGCGGCACATATTCTAATATTGTCTAGGTTCATAAGTGAATTGAAACTTTTCAGCAGATGATAGTTTTCATTTGTTTTCAATGCAAATAATGACATGTCGTTTTTTATATTTTTTTCATTTATTTATACAATATTGCACATACATCCAGTACTTTATAATCAAATGCATCCTAGAAAATTTCCTTAACAAACTTCAGAAAGATTTATCAAAATCCGCATAATCGTTTAGAAGATGTATATAGTGATTGCTTGTAATTTAATATGAACGTTATATAATAGCAATAAAGCTCAAATTGATTCTACGTTTTAGTTAGAAAGCGCAGCGTTTGTAAGAGAAAAAGAAAAAGGCTGTTTTTAGGGTTTTTCCGGAAATTATTCGAATTTTTCTCGCCGTAAGAACGATATTTGGATATCAACGAATATTTAGAAAAAAAAGGCCAAATTGGTCTAGGCGTTGTTGAGTTATGGCTTACCAACATATTTTGCAATTCATTTTTATATATAAGATATTGCCTTTGGTGCCCAATTTTATTTACCTGTATTAATAATCTGCGACAAATCCATTCCATCATGAGAACCCTTCTGGAACCTATCTCCATCACCTAAAAAATAAAACAAATTTATTACTAAAATATCATTTATTACTTTAGATTAAGTTATCTTTACCTTTTCCAAAAAGACCTTCATGGACCGAATTGTGATCCATGAACTGCAATTGGCGTCCAATTGCAAATCCAAAGATTTGCAAACACACAAAAACCACCACTAATTTTTGCATTGTAAAATATTTTATTTTGCATTTAACAAATATACTTTGCAAGTCTACTTTGTGGATGATTGCCTTCAATTTATATTGGCCATATGGTCGTAAAATTGTTATCGAGTATATAATTTTGATTTATAGCAAAATTGTAATTGGTGATAATAATATTGTAAATTGGTGCTTTAATTAATGTTTACATTCCTTAAAATGTATCGATAATATTTTATTCTAATTTGGACGCAGTGCATTTAGATGCAAATAATTGGTTGAATTATGCAAGAGTTGACCAAGAACTTTTCAGACCAAAGAAATATTTCTAAAATTGTAAGGACCATTATCAGGATTATATTTAGGTTCTAAGAATTTTCGTAAATTTGACCAAAATTAATGCAACGTTTTGCCTCAAGGCAATTTGCAAAGACATTCTTGTTACCTAGAGATAACCAAATTACCCAATAAAAATCAATATTAGATACAATTAATTGGTTAAATTACTTCAGATCATTTTGATGTTTGGCAGCACAAAACATTTTGTCAACTAGTTGACTAAAAAAATTTAGACCAAAGAAATCTTTTTAAAGTTATAGGGACTATAATCAGTGTTTTATGGGTTCTTAGTTTCAATATTAGATTTGACCAATTAAGAAGATTTGCTAGGACATTCTTGTTAACTAAAAAGGACGAAATTGACCAATACGAATCAGAATTGTATTTTCTGCACTCTTTGCTCCATATCTCCGTAACGGCTAGACCTGCCATTGCCAAAAACTAATCAGCACATCTCTCTATCAATAAGGATCGAATGTTTTTTAAACCATTCAAATCGGTTGATCCGTGCGCCCAAAAACGTGAACGAAAAAATGCGGACATACAAAACACACACACATTCATTTATTCCGAGGTTTGCCAAAATATTCAGAAACCTTCAAAACGCCGAGAAATGCAAAAAAAAATATTTTCGATTTTTGGCCCATTACAATAACTACCCTACGGAAAGTTAAAAATGACTAAATGGGGCCAGTTTTGGTAAAATGCTTAAAGCAAATTGACCGAACAAATATGATATTCGTCTACGAATTGATCAAAACTAATAAATCCTATTAGTTGAAGGATACTGGTTTTGACTTTGACCATAATGTAAGTTTTGAGTTTCCATCGACGAATATTGATTTTGGGGAAGGCCTTGGTTTTGACCAAAAGCTGAGTTTTGTGGTTGTGTCGAAGGATATTGACTTTGGGACATGACTTGATTTTGACTATAATCTTGAGGTTGCACCAAAAGATATTGAGTTTGCTGATATTGGGTTTGTATATAAAGTGTGTATTGGGTTTGTGGGTAATATGAATCTGGATGACAATTCTGGTTCTGGCCATAATAATTTCAAGTACATAGTGTACCAGGATTTTGGGCATTTATTAAACTTGACTAAATGGAAAGACTATCAGGAATGAAAGAAAAAGAATGCAGATGGTCAATACAGGAAACTGATAATAAAAACGTAGGATCAGAGAGCATGTAAGCAGAAGTTTGGTAAACAAAAAATGCATAAAAGTGCTTAATGATAAAGGGAATAATAAACAAGTGAGATAATTAGAATCATTGATTTCAGGTGCTCTCACATTATGACCCTTACATCGGACACACAACTATCCATTACTACTTTCCATTGCAACAAATTTATTATTTATTTTATTACATTTATTTCATTCAACTTCTATCTTTTTTCATAACAGCCACAACAATTTTGGTGGGTCCTTTTCCCTCTTTGTCTTCATTTTTCTTGCACTTGCTGGTCTCTATGCACTGTCCGTCCTCGTCTCTAGAGTACCCGGAAATGCAGTTGCATCCTGCAATACAGATGTCAGCACTGCACGGTGTCGGCATCCTGTCACTTCCGTCGCAGGTTCGGTCGCAATGGCCGAGGCAGTGGCTGTAGACCTCGAAGGCACCAAGACATTTGGCAACTAGAAAAATAGATAGTTATTATATTGGAGGTAACACTTAAGGCACAAGATAAGGTTTTATGAAAGTTCAGGAAATGAAAAGTTATGTATAAACTAGAAGGATGAAATGGAATATGGAGCCTCCTTTTAATGGTCAGTCTTTTGATAAAATATTATAAATAAATTTGTTATTAATTCTAAATTGTAGAATTGAAGGCAGGGTCATGGTGTGAAAGTACTATAAATCATTGATTTTCTTACCCTTCTTATTTATTATTACCGTTACTATTAATCACTATTATATAATCCTATCTAATATATGATTTTAACTTTTGATATCAGTTTTTACAACAACAATATTTTTTATTGATATCGAAAATATCAATATATTTTAGTTCAATGTAGGCAACAATGTGATTCTGGATGAATATTTTGAGTTAGAAAACTTACGATGATGAAACTGCTGCTTTTGTCCACCATTATCTGAAAAATAAAATATACAGTTCAATTTATTGCATTAATTCTATTATTGAAAAATAAAATATACAGTTATATTTATTGCAGTAATTCTGTTATTGCATTTTTCTATATTTTACTAAACCTCAATATTTATTATTAACTAGCTGACCCGGCAAACGTTGCTTTGCTAAGTAAGGTATATTCTAAACAATTTCTGGAGAATAAAAAATATTAATACTTTAAGTGTATAAGGATGTGTTGTTTGATACAATAAGGTATTATCAAAACAATGAATCCCATAAGTTTGTCAATATTTTGCCAATACAAGCAAACTGGAAGTTTTATACACTTTCTATAGAAAACTTGGTATAATCCAATCCAAGACTTTTTTGGTCTTTCGACTTATTGATTACGTTTCAAGTTTTTCAGATTCTTTTTTGATTCAAGATTTTGCGTATAATTGTAAATAATACTACTGAGCTTATACATAATTTTCAAATTTGTGCAAGAACAGATAGAAAATGAATTAAGTATTTCTTCTTCGACCTGCTTTTTGAAAAGTTTCAAATAACATTCCATAAATTGAAGTAAATTTAATAAAAAGTATATATGTAGAGCAGGCCGAGACACATAGGTCCAATTTGACTTTGAGCAAATATTAATTATATTATAAAAATCAAACCAATTATATCACAAGAAATAACACATTTCAAACGAACAATTATCTGACTACGTTCAGTAAAACTGCCAGCTACTTCATCATTGTAGAAATGTGCTTTTTTGACGTCTTTCAAAAATTTGTTATCTAGACCTTTTTACTCTATAGGCGAGGACACTTGGAACGGCCAGGTGGCAAACTGGTTTAATGTCTTATTTTAATTTTAAAGGTATTTTACAAAATAATTACATTTTTAACTAATGCCATAAAACTACCAACGGAAGAAAACACTTTTATTTTGGATTTTCAAAGATTACCATTTATCTCCCGATAGCAAAGTCATAAGAATCAGTCTCTACTTTCAAATATTGTTGTTAAACAATGCTTGACTTTACTGGTTTTGGACACATCGGTGGTGAAACTTTTTAACCCCGGACCTTCATATATTATTATCTATTTTTCGATATATTCCGGAGAAATTATAACTGAAAAAATGTTATTTGACAAAAAGGCCCATCGCTCGATCCCAAATTTCGGTTCATAAATAAAAAAATATAATCTAGAAAATGTTTTATAAATACCAAAAAGTATATTATTATACAAATGAGTTCTTACAGAGTTGTTTGAGAAAAATATGATTTGCGAAAAAATGCTACAACTGAATTTTCATATTAACATTTCAAAAGTTGATATTTTGAGTTTCTAGTAACACTTGCGGTGCGTTGAATAACATTTTTGTGTATAAATATAACTACTTACTACAATTTAATCATAATTAAATAATATTCACCTGAAACATCCTATTAAACGTAATTGAACATCATCTCTCAAAAACGTTTGACATTTGACGTATTAGCCACCGTCCATTGTTTTATTTAAATTACGCTTCTACAAAAAATTCGAATTGAAAATGTAAAGTTTCTACGCAATTTTGAAAAAAAATCTCACTTTTCCGATAACCAACTGATTTTTCAAGACTAAGACTGGCCAAATTGGTTTAGCCGTTTTCGAGTTTTAGTGAATCATTTTATTGAGAGCTCCATTTTTATATATAAGATTGTACTAAACACCAATATATTTAACTAAAAAAAATGTAACAAATGTTCTTTCAACCAACGAGTCCATTAACACAGTATCAAAAAAATTGCTTAGATCACAATTTCTCCACTTTCATTTTTTTTTAAATTTTTTACTTAATTTATTTTCTATTGCTTGGTTTTTATTACCTGGTCTATAAATATCAGACTCCTGTATAACTTCGTTTTCCTGAACTTGATATGGAGTTGGATTTGGAGGAGCAAAAGAAGAACTTTGAACAAATTCAGAGGAAGGATACTGGCTTTGAGAAAGGACTTGGTTTGGACCATAATGTAAGTTTTGTGGTTGTATCGAAGGATATTGACTTTGGGACATGACTTGGTTTTGACTATAAACTTGAGGTTGCACCAAAGGATATTGAGTTTGTTGATATTGGGTTTGTACATAAGGTGTGTATTGAGTTTGGGGATAATATGGATCTGGATTACAATTTTGATTCTGGCCATAATAATTTGAAGTACATAGTGTGCCAGGATTTTGAGCATTCATTTGAGGACGTTGATTAATTGGGTTTGGTTGATATGGAACGTTTTGTTGATATGAAGGGTTTTGTTGATATGGTGGATTTTGGGCAGAATTCCAGAGACTCCAAATATCTTGTACTAAAAAACAAAACATATCAATATTATAATAAATAGTATCTAGAAATCATTATTATAATTTTTATGTAGTCGAATTCGTACCTTGTGTTTGTGGATTTTCTTGCTTTTGTGCAGCTGAAAAATGTTAACAAAACAGTTCGAATTATTTAATTGTTTAAATGTAATTATATTCATTTTCAATTTTAATTTTTTTGAATTGATATCAACAATCTTCTTGAATTGTCAATATTAACCTTTCCACTTAAATTACCAAAATTTCTCAATTTTGAAAAAAATAGGTATTTATAAATTTTTAGGTCATGGAAATTTGCAATTTTTAATAATTAATTTGATATTTACACTTTTTAAATTATCCAAATTATTTTGTTGACTTTTACGAATTTTCTCAAATTAGTATTTTTCTTCTCCCCATCAAAATCAATTTTGAAAAATAAAATAAAAAATGTATACTGACCATAAAGAGGTACCAATTTTTCCACTACTGGTTTATAATAAAGTGTCCACCATGCTGAAAAATATTAGTAAAAATAACTTTAGAGATAATAAAATTAATATTTAAATTTTTAGTTAGTGATTAGATTATAAATATAAATAATTCGCTTGAGTTTAACAAAAAATACGGTAAAATAATTAAATGCAGTTTAAAGAAATCAAAGAATATCAAATATATGATAAATTTAGTATAAAATTATGCATTATTATGTATTTTTGATATAAGCATCTATAACAAATAATAATTATCAGAAAATTTCAAGCAAAAATCTAATATCACTACTACTTGATACCAAGCTTGACTCTGTTGAATGATTTATTTTAAATTATGTTTTGAAAATTTCAATGTAAACAATCTTGGAGAAAATATGCAAAAATAATACACAACTTTTTTAGTTATTTGTGAATAAATTTTGCTACAAAAGAAAATAATATTTCTTATAATAATAATAAAAATTGTTTTAGATAAAATAAAATAACTTACGAATCGGCTTGAATTCTTGTAAAAATTGATCTTGGTTGTACATTTCTAAAAATATAAAAAATCAATCAATTAATTGAAAATTGCATTAATAGTCACAATTAAAACATATATTAAAAATAGAACACAAAAATTATGCAAAGAAAATCTATAAATAGCCAATTTACCAATTTGAGAATAATAGGTTTTATTTTAATTTCAATTTTAATTATAGAAAATAAACTTAAAACGCTTTATGCTTAAAATTGTGAATATATAAAATTTTAAACAAATACCGTTTAGATCCCTGATTTTATTTGTCTGACTGCTAAAATATTGTACAGGAGGTCCTGGAAGAAATATTTATCTGAATTAAATAAAATGGCAAATGAGAATTAAATAACTATTCATACATTAATTTTAAATATTTCATCTATATATAAATTCTAATAAAATTCTTATTAAGAAAGACAGAAATTTGGATTTTTAATATGAGATTAATAAATAAAACTTACGCGCAGATGTAGTTTGTGGTCGTGGTTTGTTTTCTGAAATATACAAAATAATAACAAATAGGTATTAACTAGAATATGTCTAAATATTATATGACCTGATAAAATGGCAAAATAAAAAATGATGTTGTATTAACAACCTAATAATATATTTTTTAAATAAAAATATTCAATTTCCAAAATTGTCACATTTCTTATAAATTTCAAAAAGTTACTCGATTCACAATCAAAACATAGGCAAACTTTTTTTAAAAGTTTTATATTTTACATATAGCATAATAGAATTTTTAGCAAAAATACGTTTAAAAAGTCCTTTCTAAATGACCAATGAATAAAAAATATTGAATTTTGCTAGTTTTATATATTACAACTAATTTTATATAATAATCACTTACGATTTTGGTTACTATGAGATTTTGATGAATGGTGCTCTGTAATATTAATAATAATTAGTATTAAAATTAAAAAAATATTATTAAAATCGTGCCATGAGGCATAAACTTCTCAAAAATTACATAAGCTATGATTTGTTGTAAATTAATAAAAAAAATCAACAAATAGAATGCATTTGTTATTTCTCACAATATATTTTTACCAATGTCATATAAAATAAAAGAACAGAAGAAAGGCTTATACTAGAATTTACTAAATTTAATAGAAAAAAAAAATAAAAAAAAAACTAAAGACGAACAAATAAAATAAGGATTCATAATAAATTTTAACTCAAAGTTTATTTAAGTATTTATATTATAAATGTATATTAATTTTATAATGTACCTTCACATGATACAGCTACGGTAGCACTATCCAATTCTGGAAAAGCAAAAATAATTATTTCTTTTTAAATATTTATTATTAATTAAAATTTGATTTGCCCTAAAAAATAAAAAAAAAACATAAAAAGAAAACTTACGTGGAGTTTTCTTTACTTCAGGTTCAGTTGTTTTATCATCCTCAGACGAAGATGAAGCTGGGGTGGACTCCGAAGGTGAAGGAGCTGGAAGGATAAATTACATATTTATAAAACAAAAAAAAATCATTCGTATTATATATTAATAAAAAGTGGGATATACCAAAATTAAAGAAGTATAAGCAACTTCATCAATTTTCCTCAGAGGCGCCACTAATCGTAGCACGTAAATTAAGCCTGAGGATTAGGTTCTAGATAAGATTTTTTAAAATATGTAATATAAAAAATATAAACTTGATTAATTTGAACGAATTAAATGAACGAATTAAAATATGTTTTTAACTGAATACAAAGATGTTTTCACAAATACAACGTTTCTCTTTCTATTCCGTCCACGTTCTTGAACATCTTGATATCAAGCAGTATTATTAATTGCTTTTACTTCAAACTATATTTTTAAAGACAATTTCAAGTAATAGCTTTTAACCTTTCCAATAATATTTTCATTATAAAATTATTTGGACAACCAATAGGTTACATTCTGATAATACTAGGTAAAGGATTTATATCTAAATAGCTTATAAAATGGTAACGATAGTAGTAATTGATATACAAAAAATAAAACTATATCATTTTGACAACTGTAATGACAGGTTCCTAATGCTATTCCCTCTACGTTCTCGGACAGCTTGAAATCTAGCAGTAATATCTGACTTCACTTCAAAATATATTTTTAAATATGATTTCAAGTAATAACAGTTTTTCCGGGCATTAGAAAACTTTATTTATGATTTCATTATAAATTGTTTAGAAAACCAGTGGGTTGCCAAAGTTTTTAAATTAAAATTTTTCATTTTCAATTCATATTATTATTTCCATGTAAAACTAAAAAAATGTTATTTTAGAAATTGTTCTATACTTACGTTCAGTTTGATTTTCTTGATTTTCATCTCCCTCAATAATATCATCAGCATTTACCAAACAAATTACAAAATATATACACAAAGTCACCAAAAAAATATTGACACAATTCTATTTGTCTAAAAAAAAAATTTGCTAATATAGAAATTGTTTAAACTAGATGTAAGTGGCAACTAATTAACTATGGACAAAAAGAAGATTTAAACTTTTAATTCTTAAAAAGACAACGTTTGCACAAGTCTGTAATAATTACCCGATGGTGACTTTATATTTGACCACAATTTGACTACTTTCACTAAACGAAATTCTATAACTAATAAAATTCAAAATTAGATCTTTTTATACAGATTATTTGTTTATATTAAACGTTTATAATTAGGTGTGAACGGGAAATAACTGAAATATTTTGCCTACATTTATTTACTTTTTAATTTACATCATCGATGTTTATATATATATATATATATATATATATATATATATTTATATATTTATAATATTTGAAAAGTTTGTTCAAAATCTAAGAACACATTTCGCTACAAAAAAGTGCTCTGTACGTTTAGGCACTATTTGGAAATTGTAAAATGATAAGATTTTTTCTCAAAGCAAAAAGTTTTTATTTATTATTTTTGTCTATTCCCAGTTTAAATTTTATTCTCTAAACGCCGTGTCAGTCATATGTGTCTGACACTAAAAGTTGCATATGATCCATATGCCTGACATATGCGATTTGAAAGGAGAAAAAAAGTTCTAATATAGAACCATGACAGTCACATAAAAAACAGTATTTTTTCAGAAAATTAAGCAAATTTTTTTCCTGGTTACATTTTTAACTAAATTATCTAGAAAGAGAGAAAAAGTATTAATTAAGAGCTATGTCAATCATATATGTGTAGCATAAAAATAGTGTTTTCTCAGAAATTTTGGCCATCTTTTTTCTTGTTACATTTTCAATCAAATTATCTATCTATAAAGTTACCATGGCCCATGTGAAAATTTTTCTGATATTATTATAGCGGTTAACGTGTTAAATAATATGAATTATTTCAATTTGTCATAATAACAAAGAGATGCATTTGTAAATTATATTCGGGAGCAAAATCGAATTTAAATCGATATTCATCAATTTTGCAGCACTATTGATAAAAAGTCATCGGCGACCGTAGTAACCTCCATTAGGCGGAAAATCTGAAAAAATAATACAATTAAAAACTACTACAATTTTTGTCATAATTATAGTCATTTTTAGCATTTAAAAAATTTTGTATATAAAAAATATTTGAGTGTCCGGCAAAAGTCCGGCCGATTGCTCTCAACCTAGAACGAGGCATCGTTCCGGGTTGAAGTGCAATTGGCCGTACAGGAGTACAAAATTTCTATAATAAATAATTATATAGTAAGACAAAATTTGAAGAAATTTACAGTCAAATTTCTATTATCTAGTATTATCATTCATATATAATTTAAAAAGGACAATAGAAAAATGAAGAATTTTAAACAAACAGAATACGCAATGAAAAATAAGCGAGCATTTTTTATTTAAATTATAATTGCGCATGTTCGAAAAATTTTGAAAAAATAATAATTTAGGAGATATAAAGAAGACTTACAATATCTTTGATGATATCCATTTAATGCTTCACCACGACCCAAATATGCCTGGCCCATGGGAATTGCTGGAGGGCCATCGTAACCCCAAGGGTAGAACAGTCCGGAGTTATCTTGGGAAAGGAATTCTAAATCTAAATATATATTTAAATATATATATATATATATATATATATATATATATATATATATATAACTAAAACAAAATTTAATATTCAAAGCTGAAACTTTTAGAGATTTTTTTTTATAAATTTGAAAGTACTTGAGCCCCTGGGAGCAAAAAAAAATTTGAAAATATCTATATTAAGGATTACCCTAATAAATTTATTAAAAAAAATAACTCACCCATAACTCATAGCTAAAATTAAAAAAAAAAAACTAAATTACAATTAAATGAACTTAAATCTGACAAATTATGATTAAAAATAATACAATCATTTCCTAGGTTTCCAATTTATAATTTTTTTATTAATTACTTAATTAAAATATTAATTACTTACCGATTGGTGAACCATCTTCTTCACTGGATTCATCTTCATATGATTCATATTCATAAGATTCATATGAATCTTGTGTATCTGTAACAAATATTAGAAACTACTATTAGAAACAATTAATATAAAATCAGAAATTGATTTTAATTGAAAAAAAAAATTAGTTACATTAATAATATTTACCGAATTCTACATAATGTTCTTCACTGGATTCATCCTGACTTGATTCACGTTCTCCTGCTGTAAAAATGAATTTAAATGAAGTTTCTACTTCAATTAAAAACACAAAAATAAATTTTGAAACTAATTAAAAATAATCCAATTGATATTAAACATAATTATGTATTTTTTGTTATTAATAATTACTGAATTGTGGACGTCCTCTATTGAATCCATCTTTATTTGGCTCACGCTCACCTGCAAAAATTTATTAGAATTAATTATCAAAAAATTAAGGAATAATTATGAATAAAAATGTTAATGGTAAAAGTAATTTGTAATTTTAATTACTTATTTGTGGTTGATATTCTTCACCGGATTCATCTTCATACAGATCTGCTTCTTCATGGTCACCTGAAAAATTAAAACATATTTTAAAAATAAATTAAAATACAATATAATTTTCAGCAAATAAAATTAGGAGTTTCTCGAGAATAAAAATTGAAAAGAAAATTTTGGCATTAATTGAAAATAATAAAAAAAAAACTGGTGAAAATCCACTGAGAATCTCATAAGAATTTATTTCGAATCTTATAAAAATATTATGAAAATCTGATAAGAATTTTATAAACGATCTGTAAAGATCCTGATGAGAATCCAATGGAAATCTACGAAAAAGAATCTTGATATCACTTATAAGAATCTTGTCAGAATATTATAACAATCTAAATCGATGTTGTAAATTTAAATTTTAGTGTGAAATTTTGTCAGGATTAGAAATTAATTTTGAAAGTTTAGATTTGTCCAAAGATCCAATTTTTTAATTTTTGGCCCATTTTAAGTAATAATTTTCATCTCCCTTTACAGATTATTTTGATCTATTTTTTTGTATTTAAGACATTAATTTAACAATTACCAAAATTACTAATTTGTGGATGTTTTTCTTCTTCACTGGATTCATCTTCATACAAATCTGTTTCTTCATGGTCACCTGTAAAATTAATAAAAAGTGAAATTTTATTTTCAACAAATAAAATTAGAAATTAATTAAAAATAAAAATATGCAGAATTGCGGAACAATTAGTAAGGGTTGTCCACCACTCATAGTTTTTTAGTTTCGACCAATTTTTTATAGTAGAAATTAAAAACCATACACAGTCTTAAGTTTTCACCATCTTACCATATTTTACATTTGTTATTTTTGGTAAATAAATAATTTTAATATCGTTTTATAAGTGGGAAAATATGATATTTTTTGTGAGTATTTTATGTATTCAACCCTTATTTAATAATAGTCATTTTAATAACCATTTTCAACTTGCTTTTCAGATTATTTTGATTAAATTTGTTCTGAGTTCAAGACAAAGCTAAAATTTATTGCAATTTATTTTGCAATGCAATTTATAGATGCAATTTATTTTTTATTCGTAATTAAATTATCAAAATTTATATTCATAGTTATTAATACAAATTACCGATTTGTGGATATTTTTCTTTTTCACTGGATTCATCTTCACCGGAAAAATTTGTTTCTTCATCAGAATCTGCAAATAGAAACAATAATATTAGAATCAATTAGAAATATCTTGTTAATAATTTTTAAGATTTTAAGAGTTAAGATAGAGATTTTTCATAAATTTAATTTAATTTATAATAAATACCGATGTCTGAGAGATTTTCTTCACTGGATCCATCTTCATAGATATTTGTTTCTTTATGTTCACCTAGAAAAAGAAACAAAACAATAAATTATATATTAAATTTAAATTTTTTAAATCCTAAATCAAAATTACGTTCTGATCTTAAAGATTAAAATTTTTAAAAATATTTTTATTTATCATAATTACCAATTTGTAGACCAAGTTCTTCACTGGATTCATTTTCATATGAATCTGTTTCTTCATGTTTGTCTGAAAAATAATTAAAAATAATAACAATATAATTAATTATGAACAATTCCTTATAAAATTTTTGCAGTAAGAATTATTAAAGATTTCTGAATGCTCTTCATTGGATTCGTCATATGGATATTGTTTACCTGTGATAAATATTAGAAACAATAAGACTATTTTAAATTTTTCAAGTCAAAATTACGTTTTGATCTTAAAGAATAAAATCTTAAAAAATATTTTTATTTAACATAATTACCGATTTGTAGACCATGTCCTTCACTGGATCCATCTTCATATGAATCTGCTTTTTCATGTTCATCTGAAAAATTGTTAAAAATAATAACAATATAATTAATTATAAACAATTCCTTACTAAATTAAATAAAAAGTTTTTTAGTAAGATTATTACCGATTTCTGGATGATGCTCTTCACTAGATTCATCATCATATGGATCTTGTTCACCTGTTATAAATATTAGAAACAGTATGACTATTTTCAAATTTTAAATTCAAACCAAGTTTTTCGAAATTAAGCTTAATCACAATTGAATATTTAATTTATATATAATTTAAATTACCAATGTGCGGACCAAGTTTTTCACTGGATTCATCTTCATATGAATCTGTTTCTTCATATTCATCTGCAATAATTAAAAGAAACTAGAATTAGATACATAAACACTTTTGTAAAACAGTTTTAATGTAACCAACATTTTTAAAATAAATTCTTTAATTGAAAAAATTGAAATTCAGAACAATATTATTATTGATTTTAATAGAAAATTTAATTAAATTTAAGTAAAATTTGTATGTGAAATCAGTGAATTAAAATATCTCCAAATTTGATATTTTGAGGATAAATTATTTTTGAAATGAAATAATTTCGAATTAAATGACAAAACAATGTAATATTGCCAATGCTAAAAAACTTATTATTGGTAAGACCAATACTGGGCAGACCAATATTGGTTAGGCCAATATTGGCAAAAACCAATATTGGCAAGATTAATATTGACCAGACCAATAATGGCACAAACTAATAACAACAATAATGGGCCTGTGATTTTGTTAACATTAATAAAATTACTCAATATATTTAAACTTACCAGAATCACTTGCAGAATCTGATCCACCGCAGTTGTCTGGTAAAAAAAATTACAAATTTTAAAATTTGTAGATTATCAAAATCAAATTTTAAAATTCTACATTTAATAGCTTGAAATAAACAAAAAAGCAAGGGATTGATTTAAATTTGATAAATAATAACAAAATTATGATTTTCTTACTCGTTTTCTCAGACTTCCTCGGCTGATGATTTTCTGCAAAAAAAAAATCAAAAGATGTTATTGATATTCATTCACAAGATGGAATTGTTAGATTGTATGTATATTTACTAAATTTGCAATACTAAGAGCGATATATAATATTTTTTTAAAAATATATATACTGACCGACCATACTCAATTTTCTCGATGCTTTCATGGTTTGCTTTTTTCGGAGTGCAAAATTATCCAGTTTTTCTTCTGCAAAAAAAATCTGTTTCAATAAATTTCATATTTATATATATATATATATATATATATATATACATCAATTTTTCTTACCCGATTTTTTTAACTTCATCATCGCCAACGCTTTTCGAAGTGCAAATTCATCTCTTCGTTTTTCTTCTACAAAAAAAGTTAAATAACTAAGATATGACTATTATATTGGTATATGTTTTTTTTAAATACAATATTTATTACAACTGTTAAATAATTTAACATCTAGTAATAATAACGAACAATAACATAAATTTAAATAAAAAGAGTACAAAGCATAGAATTTACATTAAAATATCCGTAGTAGTAGTATAGTAGTATGATGATTTAATATAAAATAAAGCAAATAATAATAATATAGAATTATATAATAAAGTGGAATAAAAACAATAAGTAACATATGATAATAAATATAACAAAATAACAATATTAGAAATAATAAGATATTGGTATATGATAATATGATAATATGAAAATTTTATATTTATTTTATAGATCCTCAGATCGAGTCCTGACACTTTCATAAAATTGAAATTGTAGATTTAAATTCAAATAGAATTGGAATCGTGAGGTTAGAATTAGAACAAGATGAGAATATAAAAAAATGTATAAGATTTAGAAAAAAAAGTGGAATGATGAAGCCTGTAAAAGAGTATTGTATAAAGTCAAAAAAAATTAATTGCAAAAAAAAATAAAACAACAAAGTTAGTAGTAGTAAACGAAACATTATTACTAATTTTTCTCGACGTTTTTATAGCTTGCATTTTTTGAAGTACAAAAATGTCCAGTATTGCAAAAATATTGATTTTAGAATATAGATAAAAATTTATTCAATTTTCAATAAAATGAGTCATTATTTGGGCATTGTGATATGAATAAGCAATAGCATTAGAAACACTCTTTTTTAATTTTGATATTTGCAAACCTTTTTGACTGGATTAAGGACTTCAACTTGGGGGCACCGATTTAATTTATTTCAAAAGGAATTTATTAAAATTTAAAAATGATGCTTACTTAAATTTAATTCACACACACACACAAATATATATATATATTATATATGTGTGTATATATTTATATTTCTTACCAGATTTTTTAAACTTCATCATCGCCAACGCTTTTCGACGTGCAAATTCATCTGGTCGTCCTCCTTCTGCAGAAAAAAAA